GCTGGGCCACGAGAAAGCGGCTGGGGGGGGGATCCCTGGGGGCTGCTTTCCCAAGTTTTTGGCTGTTTTACCCTCTGTTCCCTCCTCTTCGCAGGTCACTTCACCTGGGAGAAATACCTGAAAGAAACATGCGCCGTCCCCGCGCCTGCCCACTGCTTCAAGCAGGTAATCGGCCGGGGAACGGGCGGGATCCCAGAGAGCCTGGAACAGGCTCTGGCCCTTTTGTCCGGCGGGGAGAAGCAGCAGGGAAGCAGGCCCCTGGCAGCGCCAAGAGCTACATCGGCACAAGCCACGAATGCCAGAGCCCAGCCCGAGGCGCTGTACTCTCAGGTGTGCACAGGAGAGCCAGGCACAGGCTCTGGCCCTTTTGTCCGGCGGGGAGAAGCAGCAGGGAAGCAGGCCCCTGGCAGCGCCAAGAGCTACATCGGCACAAGCCACGAATGCCAGAGCCCAGCCCGAGGCGCTGTACTCTCAGGTGTGCACAGGCGCATCTCTGACTCTGCTGAGCTTAGGTGCTGGTGGGTCGGGTCTGGACTGGGCCGGCGCTGGGTGCATGTGCGATGTCATTTCATGGACTGCAGGCCAGGCCAGGGAGTTTCTTGCTCAGCTTCCCTTCTGCAAAATTCCCTGGATCTCGGTGACCTGTTTCACGCCCTGCGGGGCACCCAGGGCCCCCTGCATTGCCCCGTGCCCCTCAGACCTGAGCCCAGCGGTCCCCAGCCTGGCCCCTGGCGATGCAGGCTGCCAAAGCCATCGGTCCAGTTGCTGTGAGGGCCCAGGACTGAACTCGCCTCCGGGGCTGTGGATCCGAAAAGATTTAGAGAAGAGCAACTGAAATGCTGAGGGGTTTGGAACTGTGTGTGGAGTCCCACAACTGGCCCGTGGTGCTTCTCGCTCCCACTCAAAATGCCTTGCCCTGACTGTGCGTCCAGAGCAGAGGGCAGGCTGGGGCAGGGCGCAGGGAAGGAGCCTGCTGGGCCCTAGACGAGCAGCTGGCTCGAGGTGAAACTTGTGGCAGAAGGTGCCAGGGCTCCGGGGAAGTACTGCCCGTCCTGGGCGGCCAGGAGCAGCGACAGCCCCAGTGCCCCGGGCTTGGGGGGGTCTGGGCGGGAGTTGGGCCATGTGTGAAGTCCCGGCTCTCACGAGTTCAAGATCGGCATGAAGCTAGAAGCCCAGGACCCCAGGAACACCACGTCCACCTGCATCGCCACCGTGGTGGGCCTGACGGGCGCCCGCCTGCGCCTGCGCCTCGATGGCAGTGACAACAAGAACGACTTCTGGCGCCTGGTGGACTCGGCTGAAATCCCAGACAGGGCACTGGGTTGGATGGACCTTTGGTCTGACCCAGTCTGGCCGTTCTTATGTAAGATTGTGGGGCCCTAAGTCTGACACAAGCCCCCCTTTTGTTTGGTTGCTTGGTTGGTTTTTGCTTCCATTTAAAAAAAATAAATTGTTACCAAAGACCCCCTTGAGAACTGTGAGTCTGTTTCACTACTATGTGTCTGCTGACATTATCATGTGATGGCAGCAAACAACACTAGACTTTAAGTTTGCATAAGTTTCCATCCTAGCACTCTGTTTTCAATGGCACGCAGCTTTCTCAAAAATTCACGCTTCAGGCTGGAATCTTCTGGGTCTAGTCAGTGTCTGCCAAGACGTGATTGCCTTAGAAAGTTCAAGCAGAAAGGCTTTGCCTGGCAGTGCATAAGAGGAGAGAGGAGGGAAATAAATCCACTTTGCCCAGAGTGTAGAATGAAAAGCTTTGGGGTAAAATTCATAAAAACACCACAGCCCCTTTTTCAAAATTGATTTGGACACGTAGCATGTTGGTTTAAATCTGGCTTATTCTGGTTTAGCTTGTGAGAATGTTCACTCACAAAGCCCATTGGTTGTACAGCAGCTTCGTTAGTTAAACTGGGGCAGCTTCTGTGTGTAAACCGGCCCGCTGCCTGCTTGCCAGCTAAGCCTTTCGCCCTCCGGATGGCAGCGACGGGCCGTGCTGCTTGGAGACAGGGAGGTTTGACCAGCTGCATGCGCCCTAGAGAGGGAAGCTGACACTGACCTCTGGCACCAGACACACACGGGCCATTGCGGAAAGGGAACTCACCGTGGTGCCGTGCAAAGAGTGAAAAGGTGCGGCCAGGTCAAACCTCCTCAATCCAGGACTCTGGTCCGGCACCATCTGGTGTGTGGCAGGATGACGGATGTTACTGGACCAGGAGCCCCAGCCGCCAGGGGTGTGAGCCTGTCGGGTGTCCAGGAGCGGGGAACTCCAGCAGCAGGACCGGCAAGCCCCGTCCCAGGGAGCCCCAGCGAGGCGTGGTACAGCCACGGAGCCCTGACCTAGTGGGGCAGCTGCAGAGCCCGCGTGGCCGGATTTAGCCTGCCCCTAGCCCCTCCCACCGGCGTGTGGACTGGCTGGCTCAAGGGGGGCTTTGTAGCATGGCTGTGCCCACTTGGGCTGAGCACCCAGTGCAGAGCAGGCCCTCAGCTGGGGCCTGGCTGCAGAGCCCGCCCCTGGAGAGCCCCAGCCAGGCGGGACAGAAGTGGGGCAGCTGCAGAGCCCGCCCCTGGAGAGCCCCAGCCAGGCGGGGCAGACGAAATCTGCGCCGCCCCCGCCGCCAGCTGAGCGGGTCCCGAGCACCGTCGGCACGCAGAGAAACTGGGAGGGTGGCAGTGCTGGCGCCTTGCTCGGCTGCTGCTCCGGACCTCGGCAGAGAGGTGGCAGTCAAGTGTGGGGCGGATTCGTGCACTCCCCTCTCTTCACTAGGGTCCCTGCCGTGTCAAGGAGGGAAGCGCATCTGCTTCAGATCACTCTTGGCCTTGCCTTGCACGAGAGGGCAGAGGAGAATCTCACGGTTCTGTAAAACTGGCTGCAGTCACGTGAGCGGCCTGGCTGCCGGGTTCACCCTTCCCTGTCTGGCAGCGCCAGGTGGGACTCCAGGGGGCCAGACTGGCGCCAGCTGTCCCAGTTCAGCTGCTGCTGTCGCTCCGCGGCCAGAGCCCCAGGAAGGTGCCAGTAAAGGACCCCCCCAGGTAGCGTGTCCCGTAAGGGCCCCAGGCTGAGCTGTGGGCTGGCATGAGACCGCAGTGCAGTGCGGTTCCCCCGAAGCATCCTCCGGAGGCGCCGGCCTGGGGAGTGGGGGCA